AAATGCATAAGTCTGCTTTTAAATTTCTCGTGTTTTCCTATGCCAAATTATTTCATTTATCAAAGTTAAAAGTTTCATACTTAGATTATCAGAAGTCTACATGCATATGTGTGTGTATACACACTACACATGGCTGTATATAGTCACTTACACACACATACATATATACACACACAAACATAAAATCATATAGTTTTAAAGCTCTTAGGTTAAACCCAGTATTTTTATGAGAAATCCAAATAATAACCTGAAACTGTGAGCTCCTCTTTGCTCCCTTACCTTAGCAAAGCCCTGTCTCATTAGATACTATGGAAATTTATCCCCTTCACTAAACAGTCAGAGCCTCCAGTAGGAGTTTTTTAAGAAAAGTAAAATGTTGCTAACTTTTCGGTAATACTTATTGAGCAAAAGTATAAAATTCTCAAGCACAATCAGTGGGGTCAAATAAAAGAAAAAATATTTCTGAAATATCTATGAGCAGATGAGTTTAAAAATTAAAACACCATGGCCTTAATGCTTAATTGCAATTACTGTATAATATATCTGATTAGATTCTCTATAGGAAAAAAAAGTGATTTGTTATAAAGAAGACTTGAAATACTCTAAGCTCTCTATGGATCCTATGTATAAAATGAAGTAGTAGCCATTTGTTCACTCAGCAAGCTAGTACTGAACATGCACTTGTGCAAGGAACTGTGTTAGGCCCTGCAGAGGGAAGAGCTATGGTTAAAAAGGTGGAGTAAAAGAATCTCTGTAGTTGTAGATCACTGTCGGAAATGTAAAGGATTATGAGGTGATTTGATCGTCATAGACAATGACTGTGTAAGGCATTAAGAATAGTGTTGGAAAGTTTACCAGCTAACGGTGAGCTCATTTTTAATTTTATAGTGAAATAAATTAAATTTTTCAGTAGAGAATATTGCAGAGTCTCATTGAAGGGATCCGAAAAGTAAAATAGCTTTTCACCAATCATGTGTAAATAGAATACAGATCTATCTAGAGATAGCAAGTAGTCTTTCTAATCCCAGTTAGTCATTTACTTTCTTTGTTTTTGCAGTAAGCCTAAAAGAAAATAGACTATTTCTTGTTTTTCTCTTTTCTAGAAGGTGATTTGTTTTTTTTTTGGCATTCCTATTTTAACATTCTAATAGATTAAAAATAAAATAATGATCATGTATAGTAAAATATTACTATGGTATAAAAATCTAGTGTTCCATCAACTGTAAAACTTTATTTATTTATTTATTTGTTTGTTTATTTTCACTAGATCCACCTGGGCCACCGTCTTGCCCAGAGGTGAAAGACAAAACAAAGTCAAGCATCTCCTTAGCATGGAAACCTCCAGCCAAAGACGGTGGGAGTCCAATCAAAGGATACATTGTAGAAATGCAAGAAGAAGGCACTACTGACTGGAAAAGAGTAAATGAACCAGATAAACTTCTAACTGCCTGTGAATGTGTGGTGCCAAATTTGCAAGAACTCAAAAAGTACAGATTCAGAGTGAAAGCTGTCAATGAAGCTGGTGAATCTGAACCAAGTGACACAACTGGAGAGATCCCTGCTACTGATATCCAAGGTACTGGTCCTTACTCCACTGATGGACTCATCTTTGGATCTTATTATGAGATTGATGAATTTACTGAAGACATGTCAATTACTGTTTTGAATAAGGTGAGCTAAATCTTGTTCATTATTCATGGTGTTACAGAGGCACCAGAAGTTCACATTGACATTGGCGCACTGGACTGCCTGATTTGTCAAGCTGGCTCGCAGATTAGGATTCCTGCTGTCGTCAAGGGGCGCCCAACACCAAAATCATCTTGGGAATTTGATGGAAAGGCAAAGAAGGCGATGAAGGTAAGACAATTATAATTCTCTGTGTCTCCCACTAAATCACCCTCAGGAATATTCACACTGCAACTGACCATCTTCATTTCTAACAGGATGGAGTTCATGATATACCAGAAGATGCAAAGGTAAAAAAAAAAATTTTTTTAATGATTCACAACCTAGTTGACTTCATTCAATATATAACTAGGGTGTGGGTTTTTTCATTCAATATATAACTAGTGTGTGGGGTGTTTTTTGTACAGCTGGAGACTGCTGAAAACTCATCAGTAATTATTATTCCGGAGTGTAAACGATCTCACACAGGCAAATACAGCATCACAGCCAAGAATAAAGCAGGACAAAAGACTGCAAGTTGCAGAGTTAAAGTCATGGGTAAGAAAAAGTTTTAAAATGACTATGGAATAAGGACAAATTATTTTTAAAGGACCACAACACTTACATTGTGATATGCATTCAACAGATGTACCTGGGCCACCCAAAGATCTGAAAGTCAGTGACGTCACAAGAGGCAGCTGCAGACTTACCTGGAAGATGCCAGATGATGATGGAGGAGACAGGATCAAAGGCTATGTAATCGAGAAGAAGACCATTGATGGGAAAGCCTGGACTAAAGTCAATCCAAACTGTGGAAGCACCTCATTCGTGGTTCCTGATCTCATCTCTGAACAGCAATATTTCTTCCGCGTACGTGCAGAAAACCGTTTTGGTATTGGCGCACCTGTGGAAACCATTCAGCGGACTACTGCCAGAGATCCAATATGTAAGTTTTTAAACCTACAATCAAAAGAGCATCTCTAACTTGAAAACTAGAGTTATGAAGAATGCTTAATACTTCCTTTAACTCTTTTTAAAGATCCTCCTGATCCTCCTATTAAACTCAAGATTGGCCTCATAACAAAGAACACAGTACACCTGTCATGGAAACCCCCAAAGAATGATGGAGGCTCCCCTGTCACCCACTATCTTGTTGAGTGCCTTGCATGGGACCCCACTGGGAAAAAGAAAGAAGCATGGAGACAGTGCAATAGGCGTGATGTGGAAGAACTGGAGTTCACCGTGGAAGACCTCACCGAGGGTGGGGAATACGAGTTCAGAGTCAAAGCCGTCAATGCTGCGGGAGTCAGCAAGCCTTCCGCCACAGTTGGCCCTGTGATCGTCAAAGACCAGACATGTGAGTACCAGCATATCAGTACAGCACGTCCTCTTTGTGAACATCTTTCTACATGTTTAGTCATAGTCCAAAATAAAAAGAGATACCGTGTTTTCCGGACTATAAGATGCACTTTCTGCCCCAAATTTGGAAGGAAATGGGGGTGTGTCTTATTTATCTGGCATACTGGGCGGGGGGGGGGGCAACGGTGGAGTGGGGTCACAGGAGGCAGGAGCAGGGTTGCTGCTGCATTTTCCTCCCAAATTGGGGCGGGGGGTGCATGTCTTACAGTCCAAAAAATACGGTATATCTATACATCCAGAAGCTGCAATAGGTTGAGTGTAGATGTGGACATATTGCTCAATCACACATTCCCTCAACTTTCACAAAATTATAATATTTCCTTACATATTACCTTTTCCTTACATAAGTAAGGAAAAAACTTAAGTTTGGATTTTCTTAAGAAAATTTTTCACCGTACATGCTGTCTTACTTATCAGAAATCAAGGCACTTCCTCTGGACACTCTGTAAAAGGGGCAAAAAGTAATCATTTGCTCAGCAACTGCCAAGAACCATGTATCTTCACAGTCAACTTTCTTTTTCTCCATTTGAGAAAAAGACACATCTATTTTAACAGGTAAAATATGCACACAAATATAGAAATAATTCCTCCTCTAATTATTGTTACCATCCCTACTACTGTGGGTTTGTTCAATTCTCTCTTCTACATTTAGGAGGGCTATAGTCACAACCCTCTTTGCACATTCTTAGACTAAATTTATGGAAAATGGAAATTTGCTTTGACTCTACTAAAGGTTGTATTTCTTCAAAGAGGAATTCATCTCAGAATCAACAATGGTAGGTCCCTCATAACTGCATAAATACTAAAGGGAATATCATAAAAGAACTCTTATGCCTAAGCTACTACAATTTTCACTCCTCTGTGCTTTTTCGATATCTACATGCATAATGATGTCAGGTGAGAGGCAACAGCTTACATAGCCACACATAGATAAAGGATGGTGACCACATGTACCTGTTCCCATGTTGCTATAAATTAGCTGAAGACAGATCTGTTCTTTATATTGGGCTGGGCTCCAGACCCTGCCTATCACAGACCCCAGTAGCTTTATGGTCATGTGAATTCTATTTTCTATCCTTTAGTGCTTTATGTTCCTAATGACAATTTTCTGTTTTTAATAATCTAGGCCCACCATCAATTGATCTAAAAGAATTCATGGAGGTTGAAGAAGGAACTGATGTTAGCATCGTGGCCAAAATTAAAGGGGTGCCATTCCCAACACTCACCTGGTTTAAAGCTCCTCCAAAGAAGCCTGATAATAAAGAACCTGTTATCTATGACACCCATGTCAACAAACTGGTGGTGGATGATGCTTGCACCTTAGTTATTCCACAGTCTCGCAGGAGTGACACTGCCTTATATACCATCACAGCTGTGAATAATCTGGGAACAGCATCAAAGGAGATGAGACTGAATGTCCTTGGTAAAGATTATATGGTTTTATGAAAACTACATGTTTTTCTGTTCATAAATATAATGCTTGGCTTCAAAATCATTCCACTAACAAAGTTTGCTTTTTTAAACCATTTTAGGTCGTCCTGGCCCTCCAGTGGGACCAATAAAGTTTGAATCTATTTCAGCAGACCAAATGACAATATCTTGGCTTCCACCTAAAGATGACGGTGGGTCTAAGATTACAAACTACGTAATTGAGAAAAGAGAAGCTAATAGGAAGACATGGGTGCGTGTCTCCAGTGAACCTAAAGAGTGCACATACACCATTCCCAAACTGCTAGAAGGCCATGAATATGTATTCCGAATCATGGCCCAGAATAAATACGGCATTGGGGAGCCTCTTGACAGTGAACCTGAAACAGCAAGAAACCTTTTCTGTAAGTAGGACATGATTCACATACAGAGTCATTCTCACTTATGTTTTTCATAGTTTCTTATCGATGTGATTTTTTTCCCCACAGCTGTCCCCGGAGCACCCGATAAACCAACAGTCAGCAGTGTAACTCGTAACTCCATGACTGTCAACTGGGAAGAGCCAGAATATGATGGAGGCTCACCTGTGACGGGATACTGGCTGGAAATGAAAGACACCACTTCAAAGAGATGGAAGAGAGTTAACAGAGATCCTATCAAAGCCATGACTTTGGGGGTTTCTTATAAAGTGACCGGTCTTATCGAAGGTTCTGATTATCAGTTCCGGGTATATGCCATCAATGCTGCTGGCGTGGGCCCAGCAAGCCTGCCATCAGACCCTGTGACCGCTAGAGATCCAGTTGGTAAGCCTTGAAACCACTTTTTTAATTTAATTTTTCCAAAGTGCCATGGGAAAGTCAAAGATACTAACATATACTGGTTCTTTCCAGCCCCTCCTGGTCCTCCATTTCCCCAAGTCACAGACTGGACCAAGTCAACTGCAGATTTGGAGTGGTCTCCTCCACTAAAAGATGGTGGATCCAAAGTAACTGGATATATTGTTGAATATAAAGAAGAAGGAAAAGAAGAATGGGAAAAGGTAATTAACATTTGCATTATGGAATTGTACCACGGATTAACTAATAATGTAGTTGTTATTCTCAATCCCATTAATTTATCTGTATTTTTTGGATTAAGAAATCAAAAAAATACCTCTGGACGGTGTGGCTCAGCTCACTCAAATGTCATCCCATAAACTGAAGGGCCACGGGTTTGATTCCCCATTAGGGCACATACCTCAGTTGCGGGCTTCAGTCCCCAGTCGGGGCACATATGGGAGACAACCAGTTGATGTTCCTCTCACACCACTGTTTCTTTCTCTCTCTCTGGAATAAAAATAGAAAGAAAGAAATCATAAAAATAACACATTTACAACTGAATCCAAACACCTATAATGTCAAAAATCTAATGAAAAGTTAAGCCACATTATTGTTAGTTTATCTTTTGGTTATAAATCCAGAAAAGGTAAAATAAGTGTATAATACAGTCCTTTCTTTTCAATCATGTGACAATAGTTTTAAAACATAACTCCTGACAAAATAGTCCAAGAATTTAGATTAATTTAGTGCCCACCTGTCATACCTGATTCCCAAAACAACTTAAACTGGCAAAAATTTTCCCAAAGACAGTTAGATATGTCATTGGTTATACTTTAGAAAGCCATGGAAACAAGTAGCTACCAAGAACTGTGGTAATTAAAAATGCTTGTGATTTTTCCCTAGGCTAAAGATAAAGAAGTGAGAGGAACGAAACTCGTTGTGACAGGATTAAAAGAAGGAGCATTCTACAGATTCAGAGTTAGAGCAGTCAACATCGCGGGCATCGGAGAGCCTGGAGAAGTCACAGACGCCGTTGAAATGAAAGACAGGATCGGTAACTCATACTTGCATTATTTTTGTAGAAATTTATGTTTTGGATTGGAACTGTAAATTGCATTTACCATGTTCCATTGTTTTCCAGTGTTACCTGATCTTCAGCTAGACGCCAGCGTCAGGGACAGAATTGTGGTCCACGCTGGAGGGGTGATCCGGATCATCGCCTATGTGTCCGGGAAACCTCCTCCCACTGTCACCTGGAACATGAATGAAAAAGCGTTACCTCCGGAAGCCAACATTGAGACCACAGCCATTAGCTCGTCCATGGTCATCAAGAATTGCCAGAGGAGCCACCAAGGTGTCTATTCTCTTCTTGCCAAAAATGAAGGGGGAGAAAGGAAGAAGACAATTATCGTTGATGTATTAGGTAAGTACTTTCAGTCTGTCCACACAACTTCAAGATAATGTTTTTATTTCATCTACAACAAAGCTATGATAAAATAAAACTGTTGCAAATATTTTGGAAAATAAGAAAAATCACCCATAATCCCATCGACCACTCCCTGTTAGCATTTTTTAAAAATTTCCTCCTTGCTTCTTTATCCTATATATATTTTATATGGTTGTACTCATACTGTAAAGATTTGTATGTTGACTTTTTTATATAACATGCCACATAAGCATTTATTATGCTATTATATAATTTTCATAAAGGCAACTTTCCTGCAAATATACATGAATATTTCACAATTTGCTAACGTTGACCATTGGCACATCATGGATTGTGCCTTTCTTTGCTAATTATCACAATACTGCAAAAAATCCCTTAGAAGATTTTCCACATTCTAATTGAAGAGAAGCATCATATTTGATTATCAATATTGCATTCTAGTCACTGAATACAGAGTGGAACTCCACAAAGCTTCTTCATGCCTCACGCAGCCTGCTTTATCCCAGTAATTTGCTCAGCAAGTGAAGCCCTCTCACTCAGATCTCTCTCTCAGCATGTCTCTAGGCACAACTGTACTCCAAGCAGCCAGTTTTTACGTGAAAATAACTAGTTCTATTGAACATAATGAACGTTATGAAAACATTATGGTTCCATTAATGAAAATGGCATATGGAAAACTATCTCATTAAGCAATAATCCTACAAGATTTGACTTCACTTCTTTTTAAAGATTTTATTTACTTATTTTTAAAGAGAGGGGAAGGGAAAGAGAGAGAGGGAGGGAAACATCAATGTGTGGTTGCTACTCGCACGCTTCCTACTGGGGACCTGTCTGCAACCCAGGCATGTGCCCTGACTGGGAATCGAACCAGCAACCTTTTGCTTCACAGCCTGGTGCTCAGTCCACTGAGCCACACCAGCCAGGGGAATAATCCTACAAGATTTTAGATTAGCTTCAAGCTACTACAAGATTTAGATTAGTTTCAAACACCCTTCTTCCCCGTGGCTATTATCTTAACTGGACAACTGGTCTACTTCCAGGTTAAATGTCCACCCTCTCAAAGGTCTCTCTGAGATTTCTGGCCCCTTGTGCTCCTCATTGACTCACTGGTGACACAGAAAAAACTCTCTCCCCTTTGAACAGTGAACTGGACACAAAAAAGTAGCCACGCAGCCACGTTGTCACTCTTCACTACCCCCTGTCTCCCTTTGGGCAGCTCCCCCCTGTCCTATCTGAATCACACATTGCAAAGGAAAAAAAATTACTGTTTCTTCAGCTTCTACTAAAATAGGGGCAACCCATAACTGCTGCAAACCTACTTTATCTAAAAATATGGTGGAAAATACCAAGCAAAGGAAAAGCAACTCGATAAACACAAAATCTTATTTCCTTCATAACATTCCCCCCTTTTATTTATTTATTAGTTTTATCTTTTAATCTTCATCTGAGGGTATTTTTTTTCATTGCTTTTAGAGAGAGAGGAAAAGAGAGAGGGTTTAGAGAGGAAGGGAGGGAGAGAGAGGGGAAGAGAAACATTGATCAGCTGCTTCTCATTTGCGTCCCCAACTGAACCCACACCCTAGGCACATGCCCTTTCTGTTTGCAGGATGCCACCCAGCCAACCAAGCCACATTGGCCAGGGCTTGTCCTGTTTTTAAAAACAAGGGGTAACAAATATTGAGCCCTATAGTTCAACGAAAACAAACAACTAGAAATCTTTTCTTCTCATTTCCAGATGTGCCAGGTCCTGTTGGAACACCATTCCTGGCTGACAATCTAACCAATGACTCCTGCAAACTGACATGGTTTTCTCCAGAAGACGATGGAGGCTCTCCAATCACCAATTACGTCATTCAAAAACGGGAAGCTGACCACAGAGCATGGACCCCAGTGACGTATACAGTTACCCGGCAAAACGCTACCGTCCAGGGTCTCATTCAAGGAAAAGCCTACTTTTTCCGAATTGCAGCTGAAAACAGTATTGGCATAGGCCCATTTGTTGAAACAACAAGTGAGCTTGTCATCAGAGATCCAATAAGTAAGTACAATTTAAAACAATTACATTCTTAATCACCTCTTCACTCAATTAATTTTAAAAAATGATGGTGACAAAATATGACTATTAAATGCCAAACATTTTGTTCATTTGACAAGCATCCATTAGCTAAATACTCAATATCTATTGTTGGTAGCATTTGAATGTGGTTGTGAAAAAAGATTATAGGAATACATCTGATTCTTCAAATCCTTCCACTATTTGTTTTTTTTAAGTTCCCACTTAATATCATAAATATGAAGTGTTTTGCTAACTCTAACACTACTAAGTCTGGAAAACATTCTTAAATTTTTTTGGCCTCAATGAACCTCTATTTCCTCATTTGTCAGGAAATTATATTGGGTCCTTTTTAGCGCTAACATTCTAGGATGAGCTCTCATCTGCTACTTATCAAAACGGATAGTTTAATGTTTAAATGCAATCATCAGGAAATAGTATTTACTACATTCTTAACATGACATTTTTCACTATAATTCCATACTTATACTTGCAGCTGTACCAGAGCGTCCAGAAGACCTGGAAGTCAAAGAAATCACTAAAAGTTCGGTTAGTTTGACTTGGAATCCTCCTAAGTATGATGGTGGATCAGAAATTATTAACTACATCCTAGAAAGCCGCCTCATTGGAACTGAGAAGTTCCACAAAGTTACACAGGACAACCTTCTTAGCAGAAAATACACCGTTAAAGGCTTAAAAGAAGGTGATACCTATGAGTTCCGTGTCAGTGCCGTCAACATTGTTGGACAAGGCAAGCCATCATTCTGCACCAAGCCAATCACTTGCAAGGATGAACTGGGTATGTGTCCAAAGCAGTTTATACTTTGAAAATGTACATTTATAGATTTATCATAAAACATCAGTAAAACTGACTTGCCTTTATTATTATACATTTTAGCTCCTCCAACACTGGACCTTGACTTCAGAGATAAGATCACAATTCGAGTTGGTGAAGCTTTTGCCCTCACTGGCCGTTACTCAGGCAAACCAAAGCCGAAGGTTACTTGGTTCAAAGACGAAGCTGATGTACTAGAAGACGATCGCACTCACATAAAGACCACTCCAACGACGCTGGCCCTAGAGAAAGTCAAGGCCAAACGCTCGGATTCTGGCAAATACTGTGTAGTTGTGGAGAATAGTACAGGCTCAAGGAAAGGTTTCTGCCAAGTTAATGTAGTTGGTAAGTACAATTTGGCAAGAAGAATAGATATTCTGTTCTTTCCAAAGCAGAAGTGAAAATAACATTTTGTGCTGTGACTTTTTTTTTTTCCTGCAGACCGTCCTGGACCACCAGTAGGACCAGTTATTTTTGATGAGGTGACCAAAGAGTACATGGTTATCTCTTGGAAGCCACCTTTAGATGATGGAGGCAGTGAAATTACCAATTATATTATCGAGAAGAAGGAGGTAGGCAAGGATCTTTGGATGCCTGTGACATCTGCAAGTGCTAAAACAACATGCAAAGTTTCTAAACTGCTTGAAGGGAAAGATTATATTTTCCGGATATATGCGGAAAACCTGTATGGAATAAGTGACCCTCTGGTGTCTGATTCAATGAAAGCCAGAGATCGTTTCAGTATGTATTACCTTTCATGTTAGTGATTCAATGTTTGATATTGTCCTTAGGAAAAATTAAATTTCTAACACACTTTGCTAATATTTGTTAAAGGGGTTCCTGATGCACCTGACCAGCCAATTGTCACAGAAGTTACCAAAGACTCTGCATTAGTGACCTGGAACAAGCCAAATGATGGAGGAAAGCCCATAACAAACTACATTCTGGAAAAGAGGGAAACTATGTCTAAACGATGGGCTAGAGTTACCAAAGAGCCGATCCATCCATATACTAAATATAGGGTCCCCGATCTTCTAGAAGGGTGTCAATACGAATTCCGGGTTTCTGCAGAAAATGAAATTGGTATTGGAGATCCAAGCCCACCGTCCAAACCAGTCTTTGCTAAAGATCCAATTGGTATAGTATTAAAGTATTCATTCAATTTGCATATTATCCAACTTAGTTTTCAAGTATATTCTAACTTTTATTTTCTTCCTTTTATTATGTAGCTAAACCGAGTCCACCTATTAATCCTGAAGCAATAGACACAACATGTAATTCAGTTGACCTAACTTGGCAGCCACCACGTCACGATGGTGGGAGCAAGATTCTGGGTTACATTGTTGAGTACCAGAAAGTTGGAGATGAAGAGTGGAGAAGAGCCAATCACACTCCTGAGTCATGTCCTGAAACTAACTATAAAGTCACTGGTCTTCGGGATGGTCAAACCTATAAGTTCAGAGTACTAGCTGTCAATGAAGCTGGTGAATCAGATCCAGCTCATGTTCCCGACCCTGTGCTAGTAAAAGACAGACTTGGTGAGTAAAATGTTCTCAGCTGCATTTGCAGAAAAGACAGGTGACTCATTGTATATGCTTGCTTGTAAAATACACTAACAGATCAGACCTGAAAGTGCCGTTCTCTTTATTCTAGAACCCCCTGAGTTGATTCTTGATGCCAACATGGCAAGAGAACAACACATAAAGGTCGGTGACACTCTAAGACTTAGTGCCATCATCAAAGGAGTGCCATTCCCAAAAGTAACCTGGAAAAAAGGAGACCGAGAAGCTCCAACAAAAGCAAGAATTGATGTTACTCCAGTTGGTAGCAAGCTTGAAATTCGCAATGCTGTCCATGAAGATGGTGGCATTTATTCCTTAACAGTGGAGA